TTTTTTTTTTTTTTTTTTTTTTTTTTTTTTTACGAAACCTGGGTGGACAGCAATATTACGTTTCCAAAACTCTGGCAATCGGAGACACTTTCCAATTTCAAAAATTAATTTTCTCTCTAAATAGGAAGGAAAAAAACTTAAAATTCTAAAAAAAACTTCTTTTCCTCTATATTTCAAAGTTTTTATTATTAGAGACATTATTACTGGTCTTTTACAGTATAAATTACCATTTTAAAATAAAATTGGCTACTATTCCATTACTGGTTTCGAACACCCAGTTTTCGGTCAAAGTAATTTTAATGAAATCCCATTTTTAGTTCCAGCGTCAACATTATGATTTTCTTACAATATGCTAAATCTTAATTAAAAACCATAACCAAATATATGATGAAAATATCTGCTTCTGTCATGATACTTCGTTTGTAAAATTTGTTGGTGGTTATCATAAATGTTATATTATAGGTTACTTAGAAATAATTAAAAATCGAAAACTTAAAAATCTTGTGCAACGAGATTTTAAATTCTGTGTTACTTCCAAAATCTATATTAAAAATGCTTTGACCACAATATCACAATATCAGCCAATACATAATTAACAAGCTCTAAATTTGGTCTTCCTATTAGTACATTTCTACTATAAAAAACTATGTTATTAAAATTATTAAAAGATAAAATTTTCAAAATCAGAATTCTAGATTTTTCAAAATAAATACTCAGAAATCTTTAATGACATCCAGGTATTAAAAAATCAATTTATCAACACATTACTAGATAAAGCTAATAATAATTTTGGTATCATTTGAAATAGTAGATTATTCTTCAATCCTTTTATTATGAAATCATTGAAAGAGTTAAATAATGAAATCACATATAAAATTTAATAAAAAACCATTATAAAAATATTAACAGTCTTTCACGAAAATTTTAAAATTCCTAATAAATCTCACTAAACAAATTTCCCGATCGTTATGCCCTTCCAAAAGTTCATTTAAAAAAAAACAGTTAAGTTCAAATTTATTGCCAATGGTACTAAACATTTTAAAAAGAATATAGACTTTACTTTTGAAAAATATTAAAATTTGTAATCACATAGCCTATAACACTAATCTCCTTCCTAACCATTACTGGATTATTAAAACAATAAAAATATTATTAAAATCGTTAAAATTTGTAGTACTTATGATATTAAAAATTATGATTTTGAAAACCTGCACATCTTTTTTTCTCCTAAATGATATAAATTACTCTTATTAAACTTTACGGAATTTTTCCAGAACTCAATAGCATCCTTAAATTTAAAAACTGATTACATGGCTTAAATGTTTATTTTATTATAATTTTGTCTAAAGGTAGAATATTCCAATAAATTAATAGAATACCTATGGGCATCAGTTTCAACTTCAATCTGCAATCTCTATCTTATCGTACAAGAGTTCAATTTTATGCATAAATGTGGGAGAAAAAAGAAAAAAAAAAAAAAATCTTACTTTTAGATATATACATGACTTTATCACTTTCAATTATTCTCGGTTAATTGAAACTGTCAATATTTATCTAAATGTTCAAAAGTCAATAAAACCAATGCCAATAATAACAATTGATTCTCTTGACCTAAAAATTCTCAACTTAAAAAAAATCATAAACTTTTTGCTAAAAAAAAACTTTTTAACTTTTAGACCATTAACCTAATGCATTAAAATCTAAATCATTCTAAAAACGGAATTAGTGGTACCATTATCAACCAAAATCTGAGAATTAAAAATATTGGCACTGATATTTAAGACCACGATCAAGAAATTCAGTATCCAAAAATTACAGTTATTAATAATCAGATTCCTCTAAATTTTATCTACTTCCATCTCAAGCAATTACACATTGGGTTGTTTTAATATTTGTTGTTACTTATGATAGGAAATAGGTAGAACAAATTTGAAGTTACTTACTGGACACTTAACAATTGCAAATATCCATGTAAATACGAAAATATTTCCTCTACATATTTTACTAACATAGCCATTTCTATTCTAGTCCTATGACACGCCAATTAGGGAATGTTAAAACAAAAAGGTTCACTCGACAGTCAGCTAATATAAAATAGAAAGTTCTCACCTAGTTTTTGATCTAATGAGCTTTCCAGACATTAATTAAAGATATTTTAGACATTATTCCTTTGTTGGTACAATATATTAAGGGACAACTTTATACTCTTGACGATACGCAACACATCATAGCTACACTAAAACATTAACCACAACGAAACATTTAGAACACATCAGCGCAATCTATAGTCTAGAGTGCGCATAATGTAATGGCCAAAAATTTGTCAGAAGAAAAAAATCCGCCTAAGTTCTGACTGAGAGTTTCAGAGGACATAACACAAGTAACACAGAGGACAAGTTGCACAAGTCTCGCAATTAAAGTTCCATTCGAAACTCTCACTGTGCATACACGAATACAGCCATCGCGTCCAGGATGCAATTTTGTCACAATGCCCATTCTCCGTAAAAGTCTAGGCACGTTGTCATCGCTTATGGAACCTCCAGTGTTCTATCAAAGTTCTGTGGGCCCCTTGACTGATCGTGATTAATGAGCTCACCTAAGTTGAAAAGGATAACATGATTTCCCTCTTTTCCCAATTCGATTAAATAAATGTTCTTGGTATCTTCTCATTTTCAAATGTTGGGATTGAAAGGAAGAAATCCCTTTACTTTCTTGAGGAAAAGTGAATAATCGTCATCCGAGCAAGAAATGTCTAGATGTTTTCTGCTCCGGTTCATTTGGAACACTAAAAATATGTGAGACGCCTGGAGTTGATAATTGCCTCTGTCTCTATCAGTATAAGTTCCAGTTCTTGAAACAAAATTCCTGGAATTCCCCTCATACCTCACTAAGCGTTTCAAAAATCCACCCCACCAGACGGCCCTTTCGACGATAAATTTCCATTTGATAGAAAACGGCCCAAATAAATTTTACACTTCTTTCCCTTTTGCGATTTTTAACAGAAAATTCATTTCTCGATTTGCCTTGTGAAATGTTCTCGCAAATTCACTGTAGACTGCAGTGCTACTGATGATGCCTCTCCTTCCAACAAATTTTTGAAAAGCTTGTAAAAATATGAGTGGTCAGCAGTCAACTCCAAATTATCATTCTCGTTGCGGCACAAATGAAAAGCAGTACATAAGTCTTCTTCATAATACCTTGATCGTATAAGGGTCATAAATAATCCAATTCAGTCGTTTGAAAAGGATATGCTTCTTATATTCTATTAGCTGGTATTGGTACAGGAATCCGGCTTGGCACGAATTTTCTGACATTCTTTCCTTAAATTTTGACTTTGATTGGCAACAGTTATTTAGCAGTTTTGACATTTCTTAGGTTCAACATTTATTGAAAATTGAATGATTATTTTTCTGGTTTCTAATCTCGAAAATTTTTATTTTATACTGCTTAATTTTTATACAATATTATATGGTCAGGGTCACGACGGATCAGATTACATTCTGTTGATTAATTAAATTTTTTAAACCTAAATTTAATAGCATTCTTTAAAAAATAATGGCCCTGCATTTTAATTTAAATTTAATTAAATTTATTTATTTTTGCACTTACTTTTGAATTTTTTATTAATTTATTTTATAATCGTCCAGATATAATTCAATGTCAGTGTGTTGAGTGATAATGACTAGCGCCGCCCAACGGAATTTTTAGCAAATAAAAGCTTACAGACACGTCGGTGGTATGTTGCGGTTATGCGCTCTCGTCTAAAAATGGTCCTTACCCATCTTTAAAATTCTTCTTAAGCCTTTTGAATCACCCTAAGTAATACAAATTCAACTAAACGAAAAGCCACAAGGGAGTATAAAAACATATGTAGTATTTATTTTGTAAGAATATGTGAATAATGAAACAAATACGGTTCTTCTAATCGCTTCAGGATAAAATTTATTAGTTCCTACACTTATGGACTTAAACGATGCACATTATATTGAACTTCATTATATTGAAAAATAATTATTTCAATATAACAGCATTATATTGAAAAATAATTAAAACACAGCCTTAGTTTGGAACTGATTTCAAAGCAAAAAGATTCAATACATTAAATTTTGCAGGTTTTCGAAAACTTTTGATGTCTACATTTGAATTAAAAATAAAATAATACTGAATTTTTCGTACATTACAATAGTTCATAATGATTTAAGCAATATTTTAATGCAAATTACATCTTTGACTACTTCTATTGTATTTCCAATGATATTTTATTTTATAAAATTTGTAAACTTCAGTTAAATAGAAGCTTTCAAGTTATCTTGTCTCTCATTTTTAGTCCATTAAGCAACTAACGCGGATTTACGAATCCCACGTTTATTTCGAGTTAGTATTATAAATAAAATGAGTAATTCAGCTGTAAATCAGTTTGGAAATCAAAAGGATAATGAACACAATACATTTTAACAATTTTTACATTTAACACAATACGTAATACATACGAAAGGAAATTCCTAAAAAATTCACTAGAATTGGAAAACTATCCAAGGAAAATATACTTTTATTACAGAAAGCTTTGTCGTTTACACATCATTTATCACACCAAAATTTTATGTTTTCCGTATTTGCTTGCGTTTTCGTATTTTAATTTTTTTTTTTAAATTTGCGAATTGCTATAATTGGAAATAAGTAGGTCTCACATAAAAGACGACTTTCATTTTCGAAAATATTTTAAACTCATATAACATGGTCTCACATATTACGAAATTCGATTTTTTAAATGAGTCTGTATGCTATTTCATGGGTTAAAACTAAATTAATTTGCTTTAGGCACACAAATTATGAGGAAAAGGAAAAAATATCTTAATATAGTGCAAAGTACTACTTCAGAAAAAGTCTGCCTTTCATCTAAGCAAATTAAATTTATTTATTCTTATGCTCTACTTAACATTATTTATATACATAAATTTAAATTTCTGTTTACTTTTTTACTGAATTTGTCTTTATTACAGATTACGCAAAGCATGCACCATGTTATTCGAAGATTTCAGAAACTCTTCAAAACTGCACTGCCATTGCTGAAGAGAAAGTAGCTGTATTATTGAAAAATAATGTTAATCTTCATTTGTTGAACGTTCATTACTATCGTTGTTTGTAAGTTCCAGATATTTTTAAGAATAATTTCATTTTTGTATGTACTCAAAATTCGCGAAACTAATTAATTCACTAATTTAGTTTCTTTAACACACAGTAACGCATTTAATTTTTAAAATCTTATTTAAATTATGTTTAATGTATAAATTTTTACTTGCTTATTAAAAGAAATGTCGCATCCACGTTCGAGTTTCTGAAATAATTTTGAAATTGCCCTCTAGCGGCAATGAGAAATGTGCGACTAGAGAGCATTTTTTTTAATCAGAAATAATTTAAACTGACAAAGAATATTTTATTTTTCTTCCCACTATCATAACTTGCTGGTAGTGAAAGACAGAAACTAAATAGCATTATTTCTTGCTTTTAAATCTTGAGTTCTTAATTGTCATAACTCACGAAATAAAGGGAGTTTATTTTAATTTGAACCCAGAAAGCGATTTTTCTCCAAGGTTACCTAAACTTAAAATTCTAGACCTGCTACAGAACTTATAGGGTTAACTGAATACCAAATAATAGCATTTTTACGTCTTGTTGATTCAAAATGGTCAGTTAGTTGTGAAAAGCTACGTCTTCCAGATTACTCTGTATTTCCAGAACAGCAACAGAATCAAGAGTTGCTGTAACCAGCAACAAAAAGAAAAACAAGAAATGCTGTTGAAAGTATTTCTTTTAAGCTAGTCTGTTTATAATGTTGTTTATTTGAGACAGAGATTCCCTAGCCATGCTCGAAAAACATCTCTATACTTTACCTACAGCTCTATCCGTTTGATAAAAGCAAATTAAATTTAATTTCCTCTATTAAGTTTAGACAATGTGTCCTAAACTGTTTTCCATTGTCATTCACTTTTGCAGTTGCGAAATGTCAGGATCTAAGGATGTATATTTGCTGAGGTTAGAAGGCATAGGAGAAAAGCTGAGGCATAATAAGGATAACAAGATATAAATATTTCATGTAAACATTTGTGTTTAATATTTGGAAATGAATTCTTGAAAGAAATTCGAAATTCGAGGAAATCGCATCCTCGGTGGTTTTTAGCAGGGATAAGTAGTCCTGGTTTAGTCCTCTTTTAAGTCCTGGTTTTTCAGTGTTCAAGTCTTTATAATCGTAACTGAAGCCATTAACTGGTTTCATATTCTTCTTTGAACGGGGTACCACTTAACGTCAAACATAAACTCTGGAGCGAAATCTAACTAGCTATACATAAAGTTCCATAAGATGAATAGCTATATAGGAAAAACATCACTAATGCTCTAGGTTAAACAAAATGCGTTTTCCAAAATAAGAATCACAAGCAAAGTGAGAAATTAGCCATGGGAAGCCATCTTAGTTCCATCCTGGCTGATATCTACATGCATTATTATGAATAAAAATTATTTGAAACTTTGAACTTTACGGCATGGTTTCGCTCCCTAGACGATATTTTACTCTGTTTGACGGTAATAAAGATGATTTAAATAAAGTTCTTTCCATAATGAATTCCACTGATCCTGCTATTCAGTTCACTTTTGAACTTAATACATGAAATTCTCTTCCGTTCCTCGACATTTTGGTCACACGTAACACACACAACTTCAGTACAAGAACATTATAACAGAAATTATAACAGAGTTTATTCAATTTGACCTTTGGCACGAGGCAGTCCTGTAGTAATTTGAATATGCTGGATATCGTTGGTTGAATAATAATCTTGAAAATCGTTAGAAGCAAATGCTATCAAAAATTATACGAGATTAGATTATCAGAAATTATACGAGAAGGGTTTCCAAAGACAAAGTTTTGATTTTCCAATTTACTTTGGATTATCTATCAGAAGATTTTGCCGGGTAAAGCCATACAAACTTTGTAAATGAGGTCAATAACTGCACATACATATGTATAATTTCTATGACTACCGTCGAGTGTCCTAAATGATTAATATATTATGTATGAAGTGGTACATCTTCTCTGGGTATACAGGGTGCAACATATCTACTTGTTAACCGTAAACATTCATCGGTTTGCCTTTCATCACACTTCAAATCATGTCATCCGACTAAACAAAAGTTAGTTTCATTTTATTCCTTTTCACGCACTTCGAGTTTTCTCCTCCAAATTGGCTCTTGATCAAGAACTAAATTATTTAAAAGCAGGAGCTACTGACAGGGGCTTTTCACCTAACATTATTATCGAAGCAGTTAAGAAATACTCATCTGAGCACACCAAAAGGCAGACTCTTGTTTTAGGAGATTCTGTTGTCATTCCTTTCTTTCCATCAATTAGGGCCCACCAGCGGCCGAGCGGTAAAGTCGCTGAACACTGGTAGTTCGGTCCGAGGTTCGAATTCCGCGAACGGGCTGGCTGCATCGGCGTTTTCGTGGTTTTTCCCATGTGTAACGTGTATACGAGCCAGTTTCCCTTAGAAAGTCCTCCACGAAAGGCATCTCTCCCCTTAGGCAGATAGCCCTCGAGGCTTTGCCATAATCACACATACACAATACTTTCCATCAATTAGCTATAAACTGCACGCATTTTACATAAATTTAACTTTCGGGTCGTTTTTTTCTCCTATCAATAAAATTCCGAGTTCCATAATTAAGGACCCCATTCCGGATATAAATTCCCGGGGTATTCACAGCATTCCTTGCCAGTGTGGTTTAACTGACATTAGTTAAACTAATTAAAACACATTAAATAAAACAGTCTTAACATTTTGCGTCAAAGAACATAAGGCGTATGTTATGAAAAAGGAAACAAAGAAGTCCTCTGTTACCCAGCATTGTTGGTCCGAAAATCATACTTTCCATTTTTCTGCAACCAAAATTATTCAAAAACCATCTTCCGTTCGTAAACTAGATTTATAGAGACGTTTCACATTCAAAAAATTCTTTCTGTTCTAATTAACGACCCTAATTCCAATCCATTTTTACCTTCAGCATTCAAAGAAATAATGTTTTAGTTTTCTTGTTTCATCAATAGATGCGCCATTAGCTTAACTCCTGCGCAGCCATTCTTATCTTATCTTATCTTTTCACTATATCTTATGTCGTTTATTCACACTTTGGCAGCTGAGGTTGATGCTTAGGTAAAACCATCAAAACGAGTCCTATGAAAATTTGCAAATATAATACTGATTTTTGTTGTTTGACTTCTAAATTAATCACTAATACTCATTAAGTTATTACAAAACTACGATTTATTTACATGAAATAAAAATTGATAGGAAAATAAAAATTGTTACATCATGCGTCTTCATTCGTCTGTCTTTATTTCTTATCTGCGCTGATCCAGATGGCTCTTTAGCATTATAGAACTCAGTTACAGTCACAGTTGCATGGCTATTTCCATATAATTCGGCCATCCTACATTGTCACCTGACCTCAGATCACAATACCAAACCGTGAAATTTAACATGTAAAATACATTAAAATTGAAAACAATAATACTATTAAACAATGAATGAAAATACTAACATTAAAAAAAAATCTGAAAGCTTCTAGATTTTATATTACGCCCAAAGGGGCGTTTTTTTAATGTTTTATGTGTTACCTTTATTTTTTAAATATCATGTTCTTCGTACTTAATACATAAAATTTATTTCAGAAATATCACAAAATATATAAAAGAGCACATCTTTAGAATTTCCGATATTTTCGCGCGCTGGAGATATTTTTTTTCGCTCGTGCTGTGTTGCCATTGCTCGGTTTGAATTCGCGCTTTTCTTAATCAAAAACTCATAAATGCTTCACAAAATATGAATTAAATAATAAAACAAATTCCAAATTTGGACTTCCAGGTGCCCATATTCGGATGGAGACGTACGTTATTCAAAATTTGATGGCTCTACCGCTGTTTTATAACAGTACGAGAAACATACATACATTCATGCAGATTCTTCATTATTTAATTTCTTTAAATATAATATAGGGTTCTAATATTTGGCGGCAACAATTTAAAGAGTGATTCTCCGTGTTTGGTGAATCAACGCAAAATGCCAAAACGAAATTAATGGCCCTTCTGCGTAAATTGCCCCTTTGGGATAATAAGGATAAATAAAATAGTATGGAATCAGGATTCTCTAATAACAGCATCTAGAAAAATAAAAAGTTAGTAATCATTATCAAAGAAGAGACTGATAGGGTTAAAGTCCAAAGCTATTAATCATTTCATATGAGAAAATGTATATAAAACACTAAAATTCAGGTAATATGTTCTGATAAACTAGTCCAAGGTTTAACGAAGTTGGCACAAGTGCTTGTTTTCATAGGCCCGTAGAAGAAGCCACATTTTTCAACATCGTAATTGTCATTTGGCTTGATTTTCACAATCCTGTACGGTCCGAGAAACTTGGATTTAAGACCAGGTCCATAATGTGTACGCCTGATTGCCATTAGATCATGAAGCTAGAACTTACGGGCCGGTTTACGTCGTAGATTGTACGTTTTACTATTTTCAGCCTAGCACTTTCAAAATCTGCTCTTTAGCTTCCTGCCAAAGATCATCACGAGCATTCACGATAGCTAACTGGATCTCTGTATACCCAGAGAAGATCTCTGTATACCCAGAGAAGATTAACAGCTTTGTAATTTTGCTATAATTATTTAATATAGTTTATTTTAGTTTCAAACGTGAATTTGAATGGAACTGATCCCCCGTTGGTGCGTTGAATTAATCACTTGCTGAACTTGAGCAACTTGTGTGTAGCCTTTTGTCAGATACTGAATTAATAATTTGGAGCGAACAGAAATTATAATAGAATTTATTCAATTTGACCTTTGGCACGAGGCAGTCCTGTAGTAATTTGAATATGCTGGATATTGTTGGTTGAATAATAATTTTGAAAATCGTTAGAAGCAAATGCTATCAGAAATTATACGAGATTAGATTATCAGAAATTATACGAGAAGGGTTTCCAAAGACAAAGTTTTGATTTTCCAATTTACTTTGGATTATCTATCAGTAGATTTTGCCGGGTAAAGCCATACAAACTTTGTAAATGAGGTCAATAACTGCAAATACATAC